CCCCCCCCCCCTCACACCCACTCACACACACACGTACATAACCACCCTCTTCATATATCCAGCCCAGACTCCGCCCATCCACCAGTCTGCATAAAGCACGCCAACATCGAGCCTGCTGCACCCAGATTCATTTTCGCGTGCAAAAATGACGAAAATTGGTTTGTTTTTGCTGTCAGGAGTAATGCAAAATCTTCTGTGCAGCTTCTTAACACTCTTAACCCCCCCTCAACATACACACACACTCACTAACACACACACCCGGCACCTCCCTGCCTTTCAGCTTTAATGTGACAGAGGTGGGCTTTAATGTTGGGTAGTAATTGGGTAGGAGAGGGAGAGACTGTTTGGGAGGAGGAGGAGGAGGAGGAAGGGTCATGGACAGGTTTCTCATGGAGGTTATTCTGCATCTGTCTCTTAGCAACGACAGACCGTTCTTTGTACAGTCCTTGAGTTGATTGGTGCTGTGTGTGTGTGTGTTTTTCTCTTACTCCTTGGTCGCTGAAACGTGTTTGCGAGGGGGCTCCTCGGCAGACAGCCTTCCTCCCACATTCGCTGCTTTTAAGAATTTGTCTTTTCGCGAGCATCAGATGGGCTCGCTGAGGCGTGGCACTCGCCGTGGCTGAGTGTAGCCTAAATGTGCATTATTCACGCGAGGAGAAAAAAATGACAAATTTCAAACAAACAAAAATAAATCGAGTCTTGCCAGAGAGCATGTGAGATTCATGTTTACTTAAAAGATGATTAATAATCACCTTTTTAAGTCAAGTTTAGTTTTTTTTAAAGACATTAAATTGAGTGTCTCGCTGCTGGAGCGCATCACATCCCTGAGCATCTCTGCACTATCATATCCCCCTTTCTCTCGAGCCTCATGTCAGGAAAAGGGCAGCCCAGCGGTCAAAGGTCAGTGGAAGGAGCTGGGGGAACCTCTTGATTCACAGCGTCAGCTTGAAGACATCAGAGCAGGGAGCCAGAGTGGCGTGATGTCAGTCCTACACATGGAACAGGATTAAAGGGGCAATTTGGGGACAAGGAGGAGAAATAAAGGAAGAAGAAAAGAGCTTGGGCTCCTTTCCCAGCAGCTTGGATTCAACCACAGTGAAGACAGACAGACAGACAGACAGACAGACAGACAGACAGATAGAGTGAAAAACAGAAGTCTAGACAAACAGTGTAATATATTTCCAACATGTAATTGAATGACAAAAATGAATGTATTTAGTAATTGTCAAACGGAGCTATTGATCACCCCTAAAAGATTACAGAAGATGTGTCTTTGATCTGATGAGGTTTCAACGTGTCCCACTGACTTTGCTTTTGAACGGGCCTTTCTGCACAAAAAGTGAAACTGCTTCTCAGATGTTTTCGCCTGCAGGTCCGTTTAATGCCAGCTTTAGACAGATGGAGCTTCATTTCAGCCATGAAAGTGCTTTTTTTTTTTTTTTTTTTCCTACTGGATCTCACAATAACGCCGAGTTCAAGGAAGGGGCATCAAAGCAACTGCATAAGCTGATATAACTTGTATCGATTTATACAATATTGAAAGCGGTTCTTTTGTGTCCAGTCTTGCCATGACGTTTGGTGGTTAGAAAAACCCAATCAAAAACGTCAGGGTAGAAAATGACTTGATGTGTCTCTGAGAAAAGAGGATTCAGGGTGTTTAGCTTCAGTCTGAAATAGCTATGATTAAAGGCGTTGGGTCAAGCCACCGCACGGTAGCCTCGGTCATTGCATGCAACTATTCCCGAACAGGACAAAGTTCAGAACTGCGGCGCTTTCAAATCTTTACATTCATCGCAATAAAAGCGCAAAATGAAAAAAAATCAATAAGTATTGTGAGGGAGTCATTAAATACACCAGTCATATAAATAAATGGGAAAAGATCCAGGTTTGTATACAATACAATGAAAGACTATAGGACACATTAAAAACGTGTGCAATCAAATTTATTTGATCACAAGGTAGAAAAAAAGATGAACGATGTATGGAGAAAAAATACCATAAAGTAGGAACCGGCTTTTTCTTTCTTTCGGCCTAAGCGCTCACACACACGCACCCTTTGTGAATGTATTATTTATTATCATTTTTACTGGCTTGTTGTTTTACACTCTGAAACTAAAGCTGCTATTTTATAATCATTAACTCTCAACAAAGAACATATGTAACTGAATTATGTTTTTAAATGCAACATGAATGTGTGTCATTATGGAAATAAGATGATTCTTTTTTTCATTCAGACTTGCTTTTCACAACAGAAACTTGAGACCAAAAAAACAAATCGTTGAAAAAAAATGAAAGAAAAATAATCATGAAATGAAAAGGGAAAGTTTCCTTTTTGAACAGTAAAGAACTGCAGCTGCTGGCGAAGCGCTGCTGAAGGACGAATTTAGTATTTTGGAAGTAGGCTACGCTGCAGGGAAATCTTGAGTAAAATAAATGGTGGCCTATATATTGAGTCAATAGTGTAAAATTCTTATCAATACATTTAGTTTTACAATTAACATTTAATATCATATTTAGCTTATATATTGTCGATAGTATATTTATTTATTTATTACAGCCTATCTAAAGAATGACACATTGCAGCCACAACTCTTGGCCTAACAATGATTCAACACTTTATTTAGGAGCGGAGCGTCTCTAAAATGATCGCCGGTGCTTATTTATTTTATATGTTTCCCATTAGACGTATTAACACGCAGCCACAAAGACACGTTCACCAGTTAAAAGTATCAGGAACACACGAGAAAATGAATACAAATAAAAAACTGACGATGTGGATTTTTATTATCTGTCGACTGCTAAAAGTTAAACTGCAACAACAAACGATATTCAGGATTTGTTTTGTAAAACTGCATCGTCGCTCCACAAAAGGCAAAGAAGAACGTGACAGAAGTGGCGTGTTTTTTTGGCCTGATGATATTCGAGGAAGCTGTCTCCATTTCACGTCGATCCAAATTGATCTCAAACCTCTTTTTCTTTGTAAACTCCTCCTGGAATTATATAATCGCCATTGTAGTTCAATAAAGTAAAGTTGTTTCTAAACATTTAAAAATAGATTGAAGAGTGACAACTGTTGGTTTAAAGCATGTCATTGAAACGGCTCCAAAAGTCAGCAGTTATTCACATAACAAATAAACTACAGGAGTGCAGCCTCGTCCCAGCAATTAAACATCACTGATTTATTAGTATGCAGTTGTAATTGCCATAATTATATTTAATTTCTAATTCCCACAACTTTGCTGTAAAAGCTAAAACTTCAGGAGTGGCTTCACTTTTGGTCCTTGCAAAACTGTAACTATATACATTAGGCTTTGTCTAATGTATTGCTCAGTACCAAAACACTGAAAACTAAAAATATATATTTTTTCACCATTTTTATATATATTACTTATTTATTTTAAGGGGGAATGAAATAATTAATCGGATAAATACTATTGCTATTAAGTGTATTTTATTACTTGACTACTCTGACGTGCGAGTTTTTGCCTCTAGATTAAACAGTAAATTCTCACTTGACACAATGAAGAATAATGAGGGGAAAAAAAATCTTTAAAGCGATCTGATTGGCTACACATTTTCAATCCTGAAAGCTGATTGGCTGAGTCCAAGCCATGCTGCGAATAGCAGCAGAGAACGGCGCTGATTTATTTATGACCAATACTGGCAAATACGGAAGAAAGTGAAAACCCATTTGAGTAACAGTGCTGCTACTTCTGCTGCTCGGAGATCGCACTCGGAGCTGAGCTGGCTTTCCTCCTCCATTGCACCCCTACATACTCCTTGGTATTTTCTTCTTCTCGGACCTGTACGTGTGTGGGAAAATGCGCCATTGTTTTACGTTGGCCCCTTGGCCCAGAACACCCAGGGGCCGTCGAGCGCCCAGCTTCATCCTCCTCAGGGTAAACTGTTGTGACAGAGCACTCAGGGGCCCCTCATTAGCTCTCTGTCCACTAAGAAGCAAAGAAACTGCTTTAATCCCCTCTGTCCTCCTCAATCTGGCAACACAGAAATGATTATAATTCCGTTTTCCTTCTGCTCTCTTGTTTTATGCAGAGTTTAACCACCTTTAAGAATGAACACCATGCTTGATAACAAAAAAAAGCCTGTTTGTTAAGAGGTGTTAACTTAGTGACAAGCATGCTGAAACTGGTTAAATTTAGCAGAAAATACATTTGGCATAACTGGAGGTTATAGTTTCCTACTGTTTGTGTATTTCTGGATTACTCCCTATATGAGAACATATACATTTTTTGCATGTTTCGATGGTTGTTTCATTGTTTTTTATACATTTGAATTAATATGCAAAGAATCAATTTGGTCCAACGGTTGTTGAAAGAGTGAGCAGCTGCTTTCAAATGAAATAAATACATCTCAGGGACAACCGTGCGTGCGCTGTGCATTTCGTCAACGTTTTAAATATGTTTCAGTCGGTTGACACCCTGATCAAACTGCAGTGTAGCATAACTGCAGAGAAATTAAATGTTTTCCTGTAGCATATCTTTAAATAAGGAACAATCATACCAGGCCTGTCAATATGGAAGGAGCTTGTCTGATTTAAACGTCTGGTAAGTGACAATATTACGGCAACACTTACAAACTCTTGCTCACACACTGTCCAAAACAACATAGAATTGAAATGGCAAAATAAACCAAATACACTTTATTTATAAATCTTGAGTTATAATTTAATACGGTACCAATATGTTAACCAATATGCTTTCACAGTACATCAGAATGGTTGTCAAAGAAGAAAATACAAATACACACACATACACACACATGCACGCACATTCACACACACTTTCGGTTCAGCAATACCCTGCAGTGGTTTATTGTGCCTTTAAGTGGCCTGGGCTCATATATGCATGAATAATAATGAAATAGATTTGTTAATTGAGCTGGGATTCAGTTCATGAATCCCATTAAGAGGCTGTAGTTACAGTATACATTGCTCCAGTGCTCTTTAAATCTCTCTGAGACAGTCAGCGTGAAAAAGACCTGGAAATCAGTTTCATTTAGTGTTTGGTAATGCATTTATCGTTAATCCAGTGAAGTAATGTCATTACTTTTCTTTGTAACAAGTTACCAGTCTAAAGAATAAGATCTTAACCCCCTTTGACCCCTCTAAGTATGAAAATGTCGGATTAACGTACAGCTATCTCACATTTAGCTTCTTGTCATCATCTCTCAGTTAAGCTGAGAAATGTCAAAATTCACTAATTGCATGAGAAATAAACATGAAAAACTGTTTTTTAAATTGTTTTCAGAGGGTAAAAAGAGTAGACATGGAAAATATTAAGGAAATATTAACTAAAAATATTTAAGGAAATACAAAGGTCAGAAAGTAATGATATTACCTATGAAAGGAGTAATGCATTACTTGGCGCAGCCTAACACTGATCATGAGAAGTGCATTTTCCAAATATTTCTTTGCTCTTTTCTTTTCATCCTTTGTACGTCGACAATGCAAACAGAATAAGACTCCAAAGTAACTAAAACAGAGCATCAATCTCACCCTTCGGTCTGTACACAGTTGAGCAAATAGGTTAAAGTCAGTTGACAATGGGTTTCAAACGCCTGTGTTAAATCTTTCTTCAATGTTCCTTAAGTCCAAAGTGCCATGTCTGGAAGGTATGAAAACAAAAAAAACTACAAAAAAACAAAACAAAAGATCAACACAAGACAATCCCTGCAGTTTTTCTCACTGGCCGGGGCAAAAATACGTAAAACATTTTAAAAAGGAGCCGAAACATAATTTACAAGCACGATAAATATACACACAGGGTCCAATAAATATCGTTTGTTATCCCAAAACCATAGACTGAGTGGTCACCACGCTGCAAAAAATAAAAAATAAATGTCCGTCATAGCCAGTCATTTCAAAAAGTTGTTTCTCCTCGAACAAGTGAAAAAAATTCTGCCAGTGGGGACAAATCGTTTAACGTCGGCAAAAAGGTTCATTCATTTCAGGGACCTTTCTAGACACATAGGGACACAATGCAGCAAGAAGAAAGATAACTCCTCGAGGAAATGGCAGTTGGTACTTTATAAGAAAATGATGAATTCAGATATTTTTGTTACATTTGAAATACCTGTATTTATCTCGTTCCACTGGCAGTTTTTTCCCCCCCTTGTTCAAAGCAAAACAGCGATTTCACGCCGCACTGACATGACTTGATTTGAGGTTTTGGGACCTTTCCTGACCGTAGAAGCACCGCTGTAGCTCTCCCCTCTATTGAATAGGCATGTACGGCCAGTTGAAGCTGCTCCCGGACAGCAGCATGTCCCTTATCAGAGTTTCTATGGGCGTTTTCCCCACAAGACGGATGAAGAAAAGCTGCTCTATGACAGAGGAAGAGACGGTGCGGAGGGAAGGCAAGCGGAGCAGCAGCTTCCCAAACCTGTTAGGCTGGTTGGGATACTGGCTCCTCACATACTCCTCTAAAGCACACTGGGATTTCTCCTGCAGACCTTCCACATGCGTCATGTCCGACAGACCACAAGCATCTACAGACAGAGAGAACGACAGCGTGACAAAAAAGAAAAAAACAGGCAGGAGAAGCAGTTTAGGACCAGAGGTGCAACCAGGAAATCAAAATGAACGGCAAAAAATGGTTTAATGTCGCAGGTATTTTGTCAACTTTGTTACTGGGGAGTGACTCCAACACACAGCAGCACGGGGAGGACAGAACAAATGAGCGGTTGATGTAGCGTAGGTCAACTGTGACCATCACGAGGCAAAAAAACACAACAAACTATTATATTTTCTGACAGAAATCATTACGTTTTGCTCGTGGACGGTACTGTTTTCCACTTGAAACTATTTACGGTGTTAAAGGAACGTGCAGGATTGCAGACAAATGAGCTTTTGTGGCTGGCTTGAACGAGTTTATTATCTTATAATAAGCAGATCTGAGTAAATCTGGGTGATATAGTAACAGATCAGGACAGCAGGTAACACATAACGTAGCCAAATCAGTAAAACCGGCTGGGGTAAAAACACAGCAGCTTGGAGTAGATTAAAGATAATATAGTTGTGCCGTCAGGGATTAATGATGGCGCTATTGCTCCCATCAAATCCCCCCAAAAAATGACATTCAGAAGAAGAAATAAGGAAAGCGTATCGATATGAGAGCACAGGCGCAGGGTCACATCCTGTGTAGTGTTTCTACACACAGCAGATCCCTCTGTTTGTACTGTAACGCTGCAGGCCGGATGGCAGCAGGGGTTAAAGAATGGTTTCTGTGTCCCAGTTTAAAAGACACGTGTTCAGATGTGCTCATGGAGACTAAAATAGACCTACACAGGAGACCTTTTTTCTTTTCTACTCGGCTGCTACTCATCCTTTTGATACTGGTAATGACCCAGCCGTCAAACACCATTCTGACCGTTATTAAAAGGCTCTAGCCCACAGCTTCACATATTTCGGTAAAGGTCGTTCAGTAGCTGTACGGCAAATTCAAAGTTCTAACAATTTAAAAGTAGAATAAAAATAGAATCATCTATTAACATTTATAATTTCGTAATTCATGTTTGAAGAGTTTTTATCAATTTCAAATATTTTTCCTACTTGGTTATTTTTATTCATTATTTGATAAATAATAAATAATGTAAAGCCTACAAATTAATTTCCGTTAATTATATTGGGACTTAAATAATAACCAACATGGTCAATAAGATAAAACTGTCTATTTAATTGCTGATGCATATTTTATGTGAAGCAACAATGGAATAAAATGTTAGCCTACATGCTATCAAAAGGTAAACGCTCAGCCCTGTTTTTATTTGCATAGGCTACTGAGTGTTTTATTTCTCAGGGGCTGCAGGGATTATTCTGTTTGGAAACACACAAAAACTTAGTTTTTTAAAAATCATATAATAATATTAATAATTCACTTCATGATACTGATAAAGTTAACTATGTTCCTTTAAGGGCTGACAACCTGTATGAGGTCATAGGTCATTGTGGTCACATAGCAAAGAAATTATATGATGAAGTCATAGGATGAAAATACTTTTCAAATAGAAACAAAAAAATGTTTCTTTTCTTTCTTTCTCTTTTGGTTTTATAATGATTCTGCAGGTCGGAGTTCTGATCAAATTGAAATTTGCAGAAGAAAAAGTAAAAATGTTGTGCATCTAACAAGTTTTTTTAATTTTCTTCTTTTTTCACACTAAATTAGAAATACCTTAAATTAACCCTTAGCATATCCTATCTTTAACGCAACATAAACTTCATCTCAAAATATTCCATTTCATTTTTATTTTTGCGCATTTCACCAAAATACACATTTAATTGGTGCTCTGAAACAGGGCGTCCATGATTTTCTTAGAAAACGAACAATTTGTGTGAAATTATATTTAGAGGTTTTTAACTAGCTTTTGATTCCCACTACCCCAATGCTCAGACGTCATCATTATCATCATTAAGCTATATATTTTTGGCCGAATTCATGGTCATGTCCGTTCAAATAAGACGGTCTATTATACTTAACGCCTTTCTTAAAAATCTGCGGTCTAAAGTGGTGTGTTGTTGGTATTTTGTTTAACTTTAACAGATTATTTTTTGTTCATACTTGTTTGACTTCATAGCGTGTTATTTACTAAACCACAACCACTGCACACACTTCACAGTCACAAAGGTGGAGGCTTATGCTACAAACACATTTCAGCCGTCCGTGCATCCATGTTTGCGTGCAGAGAAAGAGCGTTTACCTGTGGTGAACAGAACGATGGCCTTAATGCAGCTGTACTCCGCCGAGTCCACGTGCAGCACCTTCAGCTTCTCCACCTGCTCCTGGAAGACCCGGATGTGGTCCATGAAGGCCACCACCCGGTCCGCGGACATCGGGGAGGCGTGCAGGCCAGCAGCGGCGAGCAGCGGCGCGACGTGGACGGGCATGGAGCACTGGGCGGCGTTCAGCACGAACAGTTCGCTCCACGTGAGGCGGAGCAGGGCCACCTGGTCCGTCACCTGCAGGTCCGGGAAGAAAGGGATGTTGCGGGCCCACTCCACGGCGCTGAAGAGCATCCGGGCCGCTAGCTCACAGATGTTCTCTATGCCCATGATGTTGTTGCTCTGCAGGCACTGGGAGCCGAACCTGGAGGTCGGGTAGGGCTCGGCCCGCAGCAGCAGAGAGATGTATCCCGATAGATAGGAATGACACTGAAGGGGGTCTCCGTTTGTCAGAGCAAACTGGCCGTGATAAGACTGGGTGGGAAGCCTGCCCCTCTGGACAGCTGCAAAGAGAAACAGCAGAAATGTCAAATCAGCCTAGAAGGCGATTAATACAACACAGATGGCATTTACAGAAGAAAAAGAAAAACAATTAAACGACAGCAGAGATGTCGGAACAATACAACACATTATAAACACAAACTATTCTCTTAGTCATTTATAATTCATGTTTACGGTCAATATGGTGGACTAGCTCCTCACAAATAAACGTGAATAAATGTTTTGGACAGCTCCTGGAAAGAAACGTCACATTCAGCTCGCTCGTGAAGCCTATTTCTAGGCCACGACCTGCAAGATAATATCGCGCGAGAGTTTCTGTTTGTGAATCGTAGGCTACCTCATTTCAAATGGTTTCAATTTATTTTCGCCTTAAATCATGTCCTCCAATATGAATTTAACCTAACGTTACTTTCTGGCGAGTTACTTCGCTTGAACCCACTTTGATAGTAGCCTACTACTGCAGGGCCTTTGTTTTTCCTCCTAAATTGTTGGTGCTAAAAACTGTATTCAACTATATTGAAAATGTACAATAAAACTGTTAAAACTCTCAAATGTCCTTCATTTATTTTTGGAAAGCAGTAACGCTAAACTATACAGGCTGTTTGGACTGAACGACCAGCACAGATTACAGTAAATAAGAACACACACACACACACAGGCGCGCGTGCGCGCACAGTCCACACATAATCGACCAAAAACATCATGCACTCTAAAAACACAAATCAAACGAAAAAACATCAAAATGAAACCAAAATGTAGCAAAATTACTGTCGAATTTAAACATGTGACATGTAAAGCAGCTTCGGTCTGTCTGAGCCACACAATGGCCATGCAGGACGGACACACAGCGAGCGAATAGCAACAACAGCCATGCTACAAGATGCTAGGTTAACGGTAACATTAATCTCTCTCTAACATCACAGCCGGCTACATACGAAGGCTAGCATGGAGACTAGTAGCCTGTCTGACATAAATAGTCTGATATGATTAGTATGGGCGGAAAAACATATCTCTCCAGTATCACTGAGAAGACAAAGGCAACACAAACTGTGTCCTGGAATGAATTATGTAGACATTAGCTAGGCTACACACACATGTAGCGACGCACGACATTTATAGCACTTTACAGCCATGTGGTCAATCTAAATTATCTTGATAAATAGAGAGCATGAAGTGAATTTGAACAGTGTCCTAAACCGTGTAGTGCTGGATAATACGATGGGATAATACCGATAGCAACAACAGGAGTACGCCAGCCCGTACCTTCCCTCCTCATGCCGACTTTAAGGCATTTCTTGAGGCGACAGTACTGGCACTGGTTGCGGTGGTGCTGGTCTACGGGACAGTTCCTGTTGGCCCTGCAGGTGTAGGACAGGTTCCTCCTGACGCTGCGTTTAAAGAAGCTCTTACATCCCTCGCACGTGAACTGTCCGTAGTGCTTCCCGCTGGATTTGTCCCCGCACACGATGCACTCGATGTGCTGGCTCTGATGCTTGTCCATGGACGAGGAAGAGGAGGAGGAAGAGGAGGTGTTGTTGTTATTGTTGGCGGCGGTGGTCGCGGCGGTGGTGCTGGACGGATTGGGCGGCGGTGCGCCCTGGTGTGCTCCTGCTGCTGCTGCCTGGGGTATTTCCAGAGAGGACACCGGGTTCATGTGTCCCGACAGTTCCGCGGGCAGAGAGAGAGATGCGACCTGGGACAGTGGGGAGGAGAGGGTCCCCTGAGTGTCCCCGACGCCCTCGGTGTTTCTCCATGCCACCATAGCCATATCGACAGTCTGCAAAACTTTGAGCGCCCAACTTTCCCTCTTTTTATGCTGTAATTAACGCGCACTATTTGTCCTCACGAATTACTAACACGCGTTCAAGAAAACCGCGGCATTGTTTGACATAATTAAATACAAATTACGCCTGAAAAAAAAATGAATGGAGCTCATAAGATAACGGCAATGTAATTATAACGCGCGACTTCACAAGTAAAGAGTCGGCAGTCACCCAGAAACAGCTTCGGCGCCGTGGAAATCCGAAAAAAATAAAAGCTTCATTCAGACCGAGATAATGCACTGTAACATCCACAGCGGGGGAAATAAAGACAGACAACACAGAGCCAAAAATCCACGGAGGACTGTAATGTCCCCAAAATATATATCTATATGATCTGATCCTTTCTGTCCAGTGTGTCCAGCTTTACACAAGATCACCGTGCGAGCAGAGCCTTCATCAGAGGGGATGTCGCCGGATCCAGGCTTCCCAGACGTTCTGCCGATCAGTCAGGAGTTACATTAAAAAGACAACGGAGGAGAGAGTGGAAGCGACGGTTTGATGATTTTGATGATGCTTTGCTCCCGGGACGGAGGAAGAGAGTGGTGCGTCCGCGCGTCACTGGCTGTGACGTCGTTGTTTGGAGGGGGCGGGGCTAACGCGAGGAGATTCGTGCTCCAGTTGGGTTTCTGTTGATACTACATGGCTGAGTGCTCTGCAAGTTCGTAGCTTCCCCTTTCCCGGCTCTTTTTCTAGTCATCTTCTCTTCTCATTCTCGCTTTTTGATGTATGCGCACTGCACCTGCTTGACTCCGGTATATGCAGTGATTCGGTCATATACGCTGAATATACATAGTTTTAGCTTTTATGGGCCTCTCACGAGGACCGAAACAGAACACAGAGGCAGCAGATCCTAACTGCAGTAATTTGATGCCACCTAGTGTCATGAGTAAATTACACAGGAAATTACCTTTTTACGTCAGGACGCACTTGACTTGCGTTGGTTTAAGAGATAAATCCACAACATTTCTAATGAGCTGTCCACAACATGCATGTTATTTAAATTGTTCCATTATGTTAAATTCACTGCTCCCCTCCCATCTCTGTTGCAGTATACATATAGCCATATTGACATATTGTAAATTAAGAGGGGGAAAATAATATCCTGATTGTTTGTGGGATTAAAAAACTTTTTTTTTTTATTTTTATTTGTAACACTAATGCTACGTATACTTACAATTTTACCAAAAAGAGAAAACATTTCCTGCAGCATATTGTGTTATTGTTTTGCCCCCACTATAGTTCAAAGATTTTGATAAAACCCAAATACACTGGATTCACATGTCAAACCCAAACACCAAAAATAATCAGTGTTCTGCATAGCCACGTGTCATAAGATCTAAATATTAGTCTAAGACTGATTCCTGTCCATTTACTTATTTTATTTCCATTTTCAAAGATTTATCTTGATGCTCACAGAGGCTCTTGGAAGAAAGTTATCGCCATGTGAAAATGTCTGCACGGCCCTTTCACTGTTGACTCACGCTCCATGAGTCCTGAGGCCCAGTGCGCCGTCACGTTCTTCCAGACGGCCAGCTCTGCAGTCATCCAGTGACTGCTCACACACACACACACACACACACACACACACACACACACACAAAATCAAGCTCTGCTCTGCCTGCTAACAAAACACACGGCTGACGTCCAAGACCAATCAACAGTGGAAGGTCATGGCTAAAGTGTTTACCGCCATGGATGGCAATGATGCATTCCTCCACGTTTAATTCACTGAACTCTCTAGTGGCAAGTCCAGTTAACATTAATCACAGATTTTGGAGTATTGGGTGATCCGTTGTCCTTTAAGACTTATCGCACATGGGGAGCTGAAAGCTAGCTAATTGGAGACAAGTTGAGGGAAAGTATGGCCAGGAGAGACCTGCTGTGTGTGCAAAACCACCGGGATGCAAGTGTTTACAGCACAGTGGGAGGCAGTGGCTGACTTGCTGCTGAGAGATCCACAACATTATTTTAGGTCTCAAGGTGGCCATGTAAACATATCGTTGAATTACGGCTCCCCGCTAAGCTCTTTACCCCCTCTCACCAACCAATGGCACCAGATGGTTATCTGTTAAATCCACCCAGTGTGTAGGGCAAATACAGTATCAGTATGACGGGCCTGCTCAAGATGGGAGGAATGGGGCAATGACAGCCTCTGTGCTTGTCCTTAAGGAGGAGATCTAAGTAGGAAATACACACACACACACACACACATATACAAGGGTCAAAAAATTGTTTTTTACCAGTCTAATTGGGAAATGCTGTAGTATTCTTGGTATTTAGAGTCAATAGCTGTCGTGTAAGCTCATTATGTTAATTAATGAGATAACGGTTGTTATCTAAGAGTACACCGTAGCCTCTCTCATAACCTCTGGCAGTGTCACCTACTAATGCTATGGCATGTCACAACTCGGCATGTGGGCCACAACAACATATAGGAAACACATGATTGTATGGGAAGATCAAGCGAAATACTACAGGTATTTGGTTGTTGTAGCGTTACTTCAGTCGATGTGTGAATAGACTGTGTGTGTTGTATGGTGTTAAACAATTAACAACGATAAAAACCAAACAGAACAAAAGGCGTAATGCACGAGTGAGCGACAGAAAGCTGGGAGCTGGGATCTTAAATGCATGCTGGCAGGCTGACCAGGTGCAGAAACACGCAGGCATGACCTGAACTAACTTACAGAGTCCCCTGTTGTCTTCTCCATCCGCAAGATGTCTGATATGGAAACAAAATGGACTCCAAGAAGGTCATAATATCCGGTGCAACACCAGAATTCAAATTCACACCAATGACATGTATTATAAATGTCTGACATTACATCATAGGGGTGGGGTCGCAACAAAGATGGGTTTTTTTACACAAATTCAAGTGTGCATTTCCTGTTTTGGTGCAATGTATTGTTATTCGCAGAGTTCACCTTTGTTCAACGTTGACCAAGCAGATGCAGAAATGGAGAATTTCTTAAACTAGATATCAGGCTGTATTTAGGTATCCCTCTACCAGGCGTTCTAATCCACTGTTTACAGTCTGTGATCCTTTCTCAGGGCTTATAGGTGCAGTTGAATATCTTACGTAATGTACGACCAGGCCTCAACAGTTTCATCAAAACTAACAGGAGAGTGAGGGAGATGTCAATCAGCTGCTGTTAGTACCCACCCACGCAGTAAAAGGCCTAATCCAGTCAACGTAAATGAAAACGCCAGTGTGCGTTGAACATGGCTAAGTAAGGGCTTTGAGATTACATCTAATTCTGAAAGCTTTAGTTTTGTTTCAAAGACGTTCATGTTTTATATTTAAAGCTTTACTATAATTAAAGGTCCCCTATACGACATTCAGAGCATTACTATAGCAGCAAACAACTATTAGCTATGTAAAGATATAGCGGAGTAATGTCTACCTAAGCAGAGAACAAAGTCGCTCTCCCTCTGTGTTTGTTGTTATCCAAGCTTCTCCGTGCTCTGTTGACATAGACGGGCCGGCTGCAGGTTCTTTTTTTGTGCATTGTTCGTGCATGTGAGCGTGACCCACTGGCTAGCCCCTGGCCGCCGCTCTGCACTGCACTCATACGGCGGATACAGCGGTCGTCGCGGAAGCGTAGCACCCAACAACCTCTGGTTCTCCCTCAGGTTAACACTGTTAGCGCTGTCAGCACTGTCGCCGTTGTTTTGCTAATGGCGCTGTTGGAAGTGATATCACTGTATGCACCGTTAGCTGCAAGCCGCCAGGGGAGGCAATAGATGGGAATTGTTAATCAAGCCTGCTTAAGTAAAGGTCAAAATACTACTATGAAGACCATGTTTACTGTATAGAGTAGTGACGCTAAACAAAATGTCATTTGAAATTAGAGATATATGTGTTCAAGTAATAAGAGACTGTAATCTTCTCATGTTAAAAAAATCTGACAATGGATGCTTGAGAGAGCAGGGTAGTCTTCTTGCTGTTAACCTCGCAGCCATTAAAACAAAGCTGGAATCTCGCAGCTCAGCGGGGACATATCCTAGACAGAGAGCAACAATAACCTGTCAGTTAGATTAGCGCACCTCAGCCGCTGCTTCACCTGTGACCACTGAACCTTCTCTGAACCCCGGACGGCTGACCTCTCACTCTTCATGTGGGGAATTACATGCTTATGAGGCACATCGTGCTTCAGGTCAGTGTCCAATGATAACGCAACGTTAACGTCCCTCCCAGTTGTGAACGGAGCCATTCTGGCGAAGTGCAGGGATCCTCATTAGGACTTGTACAAAGCCCTACTTAACCTCTGACCTCACTGAGATCAGCACTCATTATCTGGCACAAGATTAACCCACATCGCTGAGTAAACTATATAATTAAAATAACTCTGAGACACAATCTTTACAGTGAAATAAAACAGACTTTTTTAATTGGCAAAGACTGTTGTTGCTTTCTGTCTCTAATGAAGCAGCATCAGCACTTCAAATATTTAATTCATGTTAACATCTACATGGCGTGCAGAAATACAATAATTGCGATAATAAACTGGGGAAAGTGTGTTGATTATATTTATAAATAAGAAAACTGGTTATTTCAAAATACTGGTTGTTCAGAGGTGTGTCATGTATTGTGCCTTTTTACTGACTAATACGGACATTAACACATTTAAATGTAGATGCATAGGTGGGAAAATATTAGCTGGTCTTTATCTTCTTTTTAGCATCACCAAAAATTGATACCACTAAGTTGATTACTGCATATCTGTACGAGTATCTGCTTAAATTATAAGCTAGCCTTAGCTGGCTATGTTTACATAGATCTGGATGAACTGTTGCCATAACTAAGTAAAAGTTGCTTAGCTTAGCTAGCTTATTAGCTAAGTAGCACCACTTAGAGAGACAATATATAGGAGGATAAGAATTACATACTTTGAACTATGCTGGTGCCAAATAAAAATAACTATTGTAAGCAACATGATGAGGATTTATCATGATATAATATATTATAATATACTAAAATAAAATATAATAACAGCTGTGTGAAGGCCAGAAACAGAAGCTAAAACTCTGAGACTCTGAGAGTGTCCCTTGCATCGGTCTGCATTTGGGAAACAGTAGCAGACAGGCAGGTTGCATAGTCCTTTAAAACAGGCATTATGGATGGATAATTGCAATATAATGATTTTAATTTGGCATTTAAGTGATGACACGGTGAGATTTTCCAACCACTTTTCTCTGCACTACTCTCATAGCACTGACTTGCGTCTTCATCTTTGCAGGCAAATGCACAACACAAGCCCTCTCTCTCTACTCTTCTACCGACCACATGCCATTCAATGCAAAAGACACTTCTTTTGTCCTTCACAGCGGCACATTTCCTCAGACTGAGAACACTGTCCGGCATTTTTTTGATTGATCATGTATTTGTATCTATTCATAGAGGCCAGATTCATCATTCCAATTTGTCAAGTTGCTGCACTGCTGAGTTAATTATGTGCAGGACAGCCTCCTGTTTAGAGCTCATCCGAGGTTTTCCCGTCCTCACCTCGACTCCAAACGAGCAGCCAAAGCTTCACCGGGCTACAGGAGCTGCTTGGCACCATGGGTAATTAGTGTGATGAATGCTTTAGCGGAACAAATCGTGGCAGTCGCCTGTCTTGCTCATCGTGTGGCTGTGCTGTCGTAGCTCAGGGGCTGTGGGCTCATCAGGGTAATGGATGATTCTGCTGCGGGACCATCCCTCAACCAACAGCGCCACTACTACTCAGTAGGAAACACCAGGTTTTACAGGGTGGTTTTTTCACCCCTGCTTGAAACAGGACTGCTTCTTAATTTCCTGAAGCCATCTATGTTATGGATGCCAAGTGCGTGTTTGGAAGGTTACTGACACCCGATAACAGTTTAGTCTAGAAATATGTAATCAAGAAAGTCCTTTTTATGTCTCGGACACAGGAAGTGCAAAGGTATGGAGTGACACATTATTATAAACATGTTTTGTGTGATCCCCCCCCCAGCCTTTCAGGACTGCATATATGGAGATGCAAACATCTTCATACTAATTCTCTGAGGGATTCTTTTCCAAGCCCGGGTGTAGAGCCGTCGCTGCTGAAATGATGGATCACATTATTAGATTAGAGGAGAGCAAGGACAGGCAGCAGCTGGATTTGCAATTCACAGCCTCTTTTGTACATGGACCTTTTCTGCATGAAAGGTATAATTGGGCCGTTGTCACTGAGTCAGAGATTGTTTTTTTTGGTTTTTTTTAACAATGCAGGGAACCTTGCAATAAATCAGGTCAGCTGTCGGAGCCACGTCACGGGACAAGACATTAGTGATATATGCAGAATAATCCTTTTTGCATACAATGTAAAGAGGAATACATCATCATTTGTTCGCAGCCGGGTGAGTCCAGATATCCTAATTTCTTTTCCAGCAAATGAAGGGCATATGGTGATTTTGTCTTGTGGATGAACCGGAGGGCAGAGGCAGCTTGAAGGTCTCGCTCTTTGAGCTGTCATTTCAGCACCAGCTAATGGCCTGTGCTTAACTCTGTGCCTTGACTTCCGAACCCACTGTGACAGCGATGAATAATGTGCAGCACATAAGGCTGAATTCCCAGCCATGTCATCCGTGTAGCGGAAGCTGAATAGGTTGACTGCCACAGACAGGTAATCCATAGGTATATCAGTAAGAAAAAGAAAAAAACACAAGTTCAGTGAATTGTTTCGATAGCAGCCAGACCCACAGCTAACAGAGCGTGAAAGACAGGTAAGGTCGTGGAAAGGTTACTTCTGGGTCCAGGAGGTGAGACTTCAGGGATGCGGACACGTCAGTTCAGCGGAGTCCTCGGGTCAATGTGAAGACAAGTGGAAGACACATTTCTCTGTCAGCACGCAGAGAGCCTGCACGGGTTCAGGCTTTCGTCGCGAAGTCCCAAGTCATTGAGTCAATAGCCAAGGAACATGACACAACCTCTCAGAGTCACTCGGCATCACGCGGAACAGGGAATGGCATGCTTTCCATTTCACTGCACCGTGGCCCCGGCGAGACCCCATCTGCACTCGAGAAACAGGAGCGCTCTCAGCCCCGGCTCTCGCATAAAAGCAACGCTGCGACCTGGCCCCGAACACGTACATCGCTCCTTCAAAACAGAGGTACAAGGTGATCCACCGGTCAATCCATAACCCCGGTTATTATCTCCACTGGCTGTCGTAGCGCGGCAGGAAGGCCCGGGGATAAACACAGGGCTTGGATGACAGGAAATTAGATCATGGCAAAGCACAAGCACATTTCAATTAAACCCATGTCAGGATTTATCTTCTTCTGTCAGTGCGTTTAGAGAAGAAAATAAAATGGGACCTTTCACCCCATCTGACCGAGCATTCACCGAGTGAATACAGCCCTTCATCACAAGCATGTCTATACATGTCATACAGCAAACTGCACACAAAAACTAATACAAATGAAATATCTTATATATTTTTAGATTCCTGAGAAGGTAAATTATTTAGTGTTTCACAAGATAAAAGCAAAGATTTGCAAAAGAAGGTCTGAAAAAAATAATAATTTGAAATATTTTTTTTCTTCTTATTTTCTGGCTTGTTAATCATCTCACGACCCCTCAAATTGTGACCACTTGTGGGGTCTCAATCCCCATTAGGATGAAACATACACAGGGAGGCTCATTCATTAGCCTCTGGCTAAATATTGCTACTTCAGTATTTCTGCTACCCTAGTTTTAGCACTGCTAGCTGCACGGCTCTAGGGATGGCATGTCAGTTGGCAGTTGGTCATCCACTTTGGCCCAGACTGAAATACCTAAACTATTTGATGGATGGCCATGACATTTGGTACAGACATTCATGGTCCCCAGAGGATCAATCCCACTGACATTGGTGATCCCCTGACTAGCGCTGCCATGAGATTCACATTGTGAATTTGAGCCAAATGTCATCAAATTTCATGATGCCTAATTCGCTAATATTGCCACCATCCTCAGCTGTACTTTGTGTTTAATTCTGATGAGCAAATGTTAGCATAAGATGGTGAACAGGAACAATATTTAACTGCTCAACATAAGCATGCTAATTGTCCTTATGAGCATGTTAGCATGCTGATGTTCGCATTTAGCTGAAAGCAAGTACAGTCTCAAAGAGCCAATGGCATGGATTCAGACTCTTAGTCTTGTTCTGCACAACTAACCATTTTGACGTGTAAACGTCTGCTAAAAAATATTTCTGGCTGGTTTAAAGTTCATGTGATTCTGGCATATCAAAAATCCAAACTGATATTTTAATGGTGTTAAGAATTATCTCTTCAAAGTGACAAGGAAATCTAATCAACCACAAAATCGGCATAGATTTGTTGATAGTTGTTAGGCAGAAACTGTCATATTAAAAACAAAAATAGTATATTTAATGTATTTACAATAAACATACAATCATGTAATCTTTTTCCAAGAAATATACAGAACATAAAGCTTTTAAATATAAATTCATATTATCCAAAGAAAAAAAGAAAAGAAAATAATTCCAAAGAAGCAATAGAGCATATCCAAAAACCTTTTGTGATGCTTTGAAAATATAGGTGATATTTTCTTATTTCAATGCCCTTTTCTTTTCAAAGGTCCTCTGCATAGAGCCATGAAATCCACACATGGAATACCACCCACAGCATAAGCAAGCACATCACTCTAAAACCCTCACTAACATGGTTAGCACATGGTTTCACTTTAATCAAAGGCAACATGCTGCCTGAAGGCTCAAACCAAAGGATTATCTTTCTGCATATGAAGAGTTTGCTTCCAAAATAACATCCATCATTTACAAAAAAAGTGACTGTCCGTAAGAAATAATTAATAGCAACAAAAACTAATTATGGGCCTATATACAGGATAACTGTCCATCTATGTCAAAATGTCTCTTGAATGATAAACCTCAAGAGTTGTCTTTGTTTTTTTTTTGCCCACAAATGTCATATTTTGGCAGTAAGCTCTTCATATGTCAATACTTCTGTCGCTAAAGATCCGCTATAAAAGTCAGCCTGCTGTTACCACAAGGCAAGGTCATCAAAAGAGAATAATGAGAAAAATAGGATGTAAAAAAAACAAACATTTATGCTCCAAAGTTATTTTCTCATCACAAGGCAAAACAGTCCTGTCGCCGCAGGTGAATACAAGGTCAAGCAATCTCTGTCACGCTTGCCAGCGCGTTAGACGGACCCGGAACACGTTGGCTTTTTCTTTGCGAGTGTTGAATGTTACAGTGCACAGGTTGATATGGCACAACGTCAGGAGGTCTCCGAGGAGAGCTCAGTATCCAGGCACAGGTGCAGGACTGCTATCAGTGAAGTCTGGCTGATAATCTACGGTCAGCCTTGTCTACTGTACAATGTCAGGCTATAGCTCAACATTGGTGCCACTTATTTCAAGCAAAGTGTTGTTTTTATTTGGACCAAAGCAACAAACAGTTATCAGCTTTGCCACTGATGGAAAAGACAGATTAATCTAAATTAGACAATACCTTCACTAGTAGAAAAGTCCTACATATTAACAGTTATTACATCCTAAATAATACTGTTATCTAGACCCATATACAATATTTTTATAGGCAATATGTTTTTTGGGACACTGTTGTATGATATGGTGAAAGTAAGAGGAGGGATATCACAGAAAGGCTACATACAGCTGGAGGATCTGCTCTGAGCTCCAGCGTGGTGAGACAAAGTTCTCCGCAGGACATTACAGAACACTTCTATGGTGTCACTTTGGCACTTGTATGGCACTATTATGTACAGAGGAGTCAGCACTATGACACACTGAACATCACAGATATCAAAGACCTGTTTGGGGGGGGGGGGGAGAGAGATGGTGGCCAACTGGTAATGTTAGTTAACACCCTCCTCCCCGTTAGAAGCTCTTGGCATAATGTCCGACTGTCCTGAATGTCCTGCTTGGAGCCAATCTTCCCATCAGGGACAGTCAAAGACTTTTCGGAGACGTTTCAAACACTACCTAATCACTGCTCGAATTTAAGTCTCACTGCTGTGCTGAAAATCTGTATTTATGCTCTCTTGGTTCACATCAAATCAAGCAGACATTAGTCTGGTCTGGCACAGCTCTGTGTTGAATGTAGGTCCATTGTTGATCTCAGACATTCCCAGTCTGTTTTCCCCCCATTTATAGAATATTCTCTTTATTATTTATGATGCTGAAGCATCATCAATGTATAGTTTAAATCCTATAACTATTAGTTCATTGAAGTGCTAAACTAAATACATCATATGACTAGTGTGGATCCAACATAGATTCCACCATTTGCAAAGAAATGCACTCATAGAACATGAGCGGCAGCATAAAATGAGACTGAATCATGGAACTGTAACTAAAGTACAGTTAGACATTTTCGGGAATACGCTTTGTTTGCTTTCTTGCCGAGAGTTAGATTAAAAAGACTGATACCACTCTCACGTTTGTACGCTAAATATGAGGCTAGAACCAGTAGCTGGTTAGCTTAGCTTAGCAGTAAGATGGAAAACTAGTTTAAGACGTGTCGGTAGGTGGATTTCGTTACTTTTGGAAAAAGCCAGGCCATCAATTTGCCCCTATATCCAGGCTTTGTGCTCAGCTAAGCTAACCGGCTGCTGGCTTTAGCTTCATATATGATGTACAAACATGAGGGAGGTATCGATCTTCTTGTCCAACTCTCGGCAAGACAGTGACCAAGCTTACTTCCCAAAATGTCAAACTGCTCCTTTAACCCCCGCCTTCAAACATCAAAGGGATGAAATCGATTGCGATGGTGAGTGGCTGGACAAAGGTCCATATTTTTGATGCAAAACATATTAAATACTTACAAAGTAAGCCAGGAAAAACAATATATTATCTTTATAAACTGGATATGTCAGAAATCAGAATCCCATAGAATTCCTAAAAACTAAATTATCATTTGACAAAAAAAAGAAAAAGAAAAAAGATCTGTGTTTAGACAATCACTGCAGTGTGAGTGAGTCAGCTGAGGTTTGCTAAAAAATCATCAACATCACAATGCAGTATGCATTATAAAGCTTCTCCATGGTCTAAAATAGAATTTGGAGGCCATTAGAGTTAAATGTGTATTTAACCATTACCATGGCCACCAAACCACAGTCTGTGCAGCTTAGTGACATACTGTATATTTCTTTTTTAACATTGCATGCATTTACCAGCATGCTTTTAAATGAACTAATTCTGGCTGGACACTGTGCGTCATGCTATGCTGTGTCTGCTGACAGCTAGCCCACCACATTCATCATGTCTCAGTGCCTCCATTTGGCGTTCTACTTAAATGCCTCCACGATCTCGGTCTGTGCGCTCATGTGAGCTTTGCTGCTGTTACCGATTCTATCGGTGAAGGCCTCCTCCCCCACAGCCTCCACCTGCTATGGCCCTACTACGGACATTTACCCTGGAGAGTCTTATTTGCAATGTTCCCTGCTTGTTATTTATCAGGTTGCCGTGTATTCCATGCATTACTGCTGCAAGGGGCGTCCCCAGGAGTAGAATTACACCACCAAGTCAAACTGTATTTCTGTCTTGATTTGCCATCGACACGAGTGTTCCTGGCAGAATTATAATGGCGGCGGTGAGAGAGTCATGAAACTGAGATGTCACAGGTTCGGGTACTGAGTCGGCTCAGGTATTGTCCAACTATTCATAGGTGGGCCACCAAACTCTTTCATCCTCTCTCACAGTCCGTTGCTTTTTAGATCACCAGCTAAACATCTAGAAGGACTTCTCTTTTTTTATTTACTTTTGGAAGTTGCACCTTATTTCTATAAATGCCAGAGTAAGGACTGACAAAATGGTTTGAAGTAAAAAACAAAACAGTTCTGTGACGCTGAAACAAAAAATTTGTCTCACAATCTTGTCCAGCATTCATAGCAAAACTTCGCACTATGACACAGTAAAGGGATCATTGTTACGTACCGGCTCAACACTCCTCTACCTTCAACAAATGTCCTAAAATGCCCTCTACAACAAGAACGGGCCAATTACATTGAAAGCTACTGAGAAAGATTTTCTAAAATCTTAATAATATGTGCAACATCAACACAAACTGAAGAGTATTTGTTCCAAAATGGGATATCCACCCTTTGATCTTGTCAGATGACTGGTGGCACAAAATGAAAGATAAAATCATTTTCTGTGACAAATATTGTTGAACTGTTCCCTTTTGGGACATTTTTTTTATAAGATCTTGAACAATAAAAGTACCAATATTTTCTGCTCACTGTATTAAGATGAAAGAGAAATGCAGTTATTTTGTAATTGGTTAGAAATGATTTGGTTTTGTTTTGGGGTAGAGGGCTTCGTATTTTGTCTTTACTTGTTATATATTTGACTCTGTAATGCTCGGAGGTTTTAACAATGTAGCCAGGAAACAGGGCCGCCTAGATGTAATATGTTGCCCAATACTTTATACATTTAATTATTATTATCAACTACTGGATTATGTTTAATCCTGTACTTCTATTTCTTGTTGCTGATTTGTTGGTTCTCCTTTGCTTCTTGTGTGTGCCTCCATGGGCCTCTGTAGTCAATGCATATCTGTTGTCCCTAATTCGTTGTGTTGAATTTAGACAATTGAGTGAGTGAACACACACGTCTGTTAATAAGTCTGTAGTAGGGTTGCTTAGTAATTAAGACTGTATGTACTTTGTGTCTGTAAAAACTACTCCAACCAATAGCTAAAGTATGCATAAGCTAATGATGAACAACCGTGCTGACTGTCATCCTTTCTATCTGGCATCTGGACCTGAGAAGTACTTCCTTCTAAAGGAAAATAAACTGTCTAACAAAGATAATGAATGACCAAAATGTCTGCCTCTCAAAGAGCTCTGGTCTCTTAATAAATCTAATTTGAACTGAACTGTTAATGAAGTTGAACTAAAGAAGAGCGTTTCAGGGGAGTCTTGGTGGATTAGTGGTATGATGCATTAACTGCAAAGTCATTCCATGTAATTTCTCATTTCTTTCCCCACGTTTGCTGTCGAATTAAGGAAATGTAAACAAAACAAAAAAGTCAGTTTATAATTTCGTTGACCGGATTGGATCGTCTGTATTTGAGTAAAAAGTGCAATGTGGATATAGAGCATTTTGGGAAACGTCTCTTCAATTTTTTTCATTATGTCTGATGTTTTGGGCGAGAAGAAGATAAGACCCTTACTGAGAACATTCTTCTACACTGATACGACACCAAGGAAACATCGCACGTCAGATCAGTCGCACATTAACAGCCTCAGCTCCAGTCTGGAGCTCCAGTGCAGACCACCACTATAAAACAGACTCCATGTTGTCACACATCTCTTGGTCCTCCAGGTTGTATATGAACTTTGTCCTGTTGGCTGGGTTCTGGGTGATCTCCTTGCCCAAATTGTCCAGAGTCACATTGGAGGCGAAGAGTTCGGTGGGCGTGAGGTAACCCTCGCTGTTCTTGATGTATTTCCTGTAGTTCTTTCTCAAACACTGCCACGTGGTGGCGTACAGGACGAAGGCCGACGACTTGAGGGCGATGGCGATGCTGACGTACAGGTGCCTGTAGGCCACGTTGTCGTACAGCATGCAGGCTCCCTTCTCGCCGCAGACAGAGCTCCAGAACAGACAGGTGGAGTCAATGCCCATGCCGAAGATCAGCGGGGGAGGGATGAAGCCTGAAGAGGGAGGGGATTACGGATAGACAGCAGGTCGGAGGTTCAAAAAGCATATTAGTTTGAGTTTCCTTTAGATCCGAACAGACACAGACAGACACAGTTCATTTAAGGTGATCACAGAGCAAAATTACAGGCCAACAGTGGACATGTCATGAACACAGCAGTGTATTACAGAATGTGTAGCAAGTCAAACGAATAACAAATCATTGTCTGTGGTTATAAATGCATGACAGTAAAGTATATAAAGTCAATATATACTAAATTTCTTACCAATCAGTCTCAGGAGCAGGAACAGAACTCCGAGGGCATAAGATTTCAGCTCGGGACTTACAGTTCTGAAGACAAAGACAGAATTGGCATAAACGCTTTGTACTGGTGAGCCAAATACAAAAAGTTGCGGCAAGTAGCCGGTTTGGACGGGCCATCAGTTCTTTAAGTTATGATAGCATTGTTCACACTAAAGCAGCTTATGCTGTGATCTGGGAACACGATGACAATACAACAACCAAGTTTGAAATCAGACAGATTGTAAACAAGCCAACAGTTTAGACATCTTCCACTTTAATTGGTGGTAAAACAGAAAGTGAGCACACCCAAAAAGTTGGTAATTTGTGCTTATTGTATACGGAAAAATGTTGTGCACACATAACTGTGGCAAATACAGTAGGTGTAGTAACTGTTTAAAATGTAAATACAGTAGGTGTGGTAACTGTTTAAAATGTAAATACAGTAGGTGTGGTAACTGTTTAAAATGTAAATACAGTAGGTGTGGTAACTGTTTAAAATGTGACGGATGTGTACAACAGACAGTTTGGCATCTTTACCATTTACATGGCACATGGGTGTTGGTTTAACAGAAGAGTTGGACATTGTCGTAAAAATGCTTATTTGTTTTCTTGTTGAGCATTAGATAAAAACATTGATACCACTCTCACAGCCAGCAATTAGTCAGCTTAGCTTAGCTTAGCGTAAAGAATGAAAACAAGGAGCTTAAGAGGTGCTGGTAGGTTGATTTGGTTATTACTGGGCATAGCCAGGCTAGCAGTTTACCTCTGTTTCCAGCCTTATGCTAGCTAAGCTAACCTTCAGTTGACTGCAGCTCTATATTTACTGTACACGAGAGTGGTATCGATCTTCTAATCTAACTCTCGACAAGAAAGCAAAAAAGCATATTTCCCAAAATATCAAACTATTATTGAGAAACAGGAATAATCCCCTCACTGTTTGTGTTCTTGCCCCTGCTGCCTTCCTTTTTAGCAATGTCGACATGACACAGACCACAGCATTTAAATTGATAAGTACAAAGTTATCTATTTTGCAATAACGATGTAATTATATTGACATATGGCAAAAAGGATGAAAATAGCCCCCAAATTGGAATAAACCCAAAGTATTGTTTGATATATAGTCAGATGTGCATCATTTACTATATTTATGTAGAGTGATGTTCATACTGATCTGCTCATCTACATATACAATGTTTGTTGACACTGTATGCGTGGTGCCCTGTGTATTTTGTAAGTCTTTTTATACTAAAGATGACTAAAGTGATTCCATCATTTTGCCTTTGAGCAATTTAGAATACCAATAGCTCCCTCTTGTGGGAAGACCATGTATAGCAACAGGTCTCTTTACCTGATAAGGATGATGACAGAGGGCGTCTGGGCCATAGCTCCGATCATGCTGCACACACAGATCACACATAGGAAGGTGAGGAAGGCCTGCTGACAGCCTGGGCTGGGACACTTCCCCGGTAAAGCCACCGCCTCTTCACTGGTGCTGGATATACACGAGCAGCTGGTCAGGTTCTGACACAAAGACAAGAAATGAGATCAAAATGTTTCTTTTTATCTAAACCAGGACTGATGCACAGTGTATATGTGTAAGTATGCATGTATGTATTCTTGTCTCTGGCATTTGGTTTGAGCTCTCCCGTGTCAAAGGTGGTCATGACACAGCTCATTTCAGTCAGTGTTGACCGCTTCACTCACTGGTTTGGTGCAGCCAGCGAAGCAGGCCGAGAGGTAGGTGATTCCATTGGAACCACAGACGGGGCTCACTGATGCTGTGTAGCAGTTACAGTTATTGATGCACGCCGACTCAGGTCGCTGCCAGGACCGCAACGTCCTATGGAGGAGGTCAAAGGTCATGTTGGGGAGCACATATACATGTACGATGTTGACATCAAATTGGAAAAAAAAAAAAATGGAAAAAAAAAAAAAAAAAAAAAACAGTGTTGGGCAAGCTACTCGGAAAGTGTAGTGAGCTAAACTACTAGTTAATCTACATTAAATGAAGCTTCACCCCCTCAGAGAAATGTAGCAAACATGGCAAAAGTAGTTTAACTACATCCAAGCTCATTTTTCTTTTTACAATGAATTAGATTATGCTGTCAATATAAAAATATATAATATAAATATATGGAGGCCTAACATAGAGTTGGTTATACCTAATAATATAATATAAATTTGAACGAATAATTCACACTTAATTCTAACATCGATGTACAATCATGCACTTTACTACCATAGCAATATCCACCTGCCTTGCACTTATGTACAGTGTAGTTTACTACACTGTAGCATATTAATATAGTTAAACAGTGTATGTTCATGGCCGTAATGACAGGCCTACAGCTCAACCTTTGCTAACTTTAAATCAAGTAAACTCAGGTGTCTGTACTCTGCAGCAGAGATGTCGTAAGCATCAGCCCAAAGATTGGTACGTGATACACGCCACACAATAGCGCTTCAGTCGGCGTAAACGTCCGTGCTGTTACTGTTAATGCACAATCATGGAGAAAAGCTCCATAAATTATGAACACGACCTCCGAGCTTAATCACCTTGATCATAGTGACAAGAAAAGTAGTGATTGGCTCTTAAATTCAGCACTGATACACAAGATATCAACGTAAACAGAAACGATGATAGCTACATGGCTATAACTAAACAAAAAAAGTTGCAATCCGTAAAATTACTTTTTGTATTTTAGCATATTTTTTAGCGTCTAGCATGTTTGAAGTGCAAGTCATGTTTAACTTGAACGTGTTTTTCAAAATATGCATGACTTGGTTTCCCTGCTTACTCGTTGCCGTAGGCTACAGTAACCCCGGCGACAGGTCCGGTGTCACAGCCCAAGAAGAGAAAAGAGACGTAACAGGCGGTGGACACCAGGTTGACCAGCATGGCCATGCGGACAGCGCCCAGAGCGGACAGGTTCAGCTTCTTCACCAGCAGCCCCCCGAGGAAGATACCCAGACAGGCACAGGGGATGGCTGTCATACCTGGGGAGGAAAAGACAATGATTTATATTTTCCAAAAATGTTGACTCCTTAGTAGAGGTTTCTGCACTGCACAAATGTTGCCATCATCTTTATATTTGCCTTTCTTTTTTTTGTTTGATCGTTAAACAGAACAATGGAGGTTTGCCCTCCACTCAGACAAGATAATGATACGCCTACCTAGCAGCTGATTGGCTGAGGAGGTGGTGAGGTTGAACTGCTGCTCCAGGTATTTTCCGAGGAAGGCAGCAAAGCCAGCAACCACAGCGATCTCCATGCAGGCTGCCAGCGTGATGCAGCTGAACACCGGATTGGAGAGAAGGTGCCTGGTTACCCGGGGGATTACTGCATCAATTAAGAAGAAAAAGGGAGAAAAGGGTTCGAAAGGACAGAGAACAATTAGAATTTCTTCGGTTTTTAAGCAGATCTAATGTTACATTTGGAAATTCCCCACTTCTCTTCAATCCTTTTTCCTTAGTATCTCCACCCTTCTGAGCTCTTTACCTCTCAGATGCTCACAAACTGAGAGTCCGCTGTTCATATCGAAGCCATGAATGGCCCCGTTGGGTTTAGAGCCCTGGTACTCAATGGTCAGCGAGGAAGGCAGCATGGCCTGCTCACTCTCCCCTCCACCGTCCATGTCCTGCTCGTCCAGCGCCTGGGGGAAGCCGAACATGAAGAGGGATGAGACGAAGAGTAAGGCACCGCAGAGGAGGAAGCCGGCCCACCACGCCCCGATCCAGCGAGGGTCATCTGGGGTGATGTCCAGCTTACCTGGACAAGAGGCAGGGACATTTACCACAAAGGAGGGATGTTGAAGTTTACATACATCGAATTTCACTGATCAATGTGAAGAAACTGGAATCCAGAAAAAAATCTATTTTGTATTCTTAATTTTCCCACTATGGTCAATACAAATATTACTATTGCGATGGAAATTAACACAAATTCAAGGATGCATCTAAAGAAATACCAAAAAAAGGCAACTGCCAACTCACTGGTGTCGATGAAGACAGCATCAACGTAGACTTTGGTACATACAGAACCTAAGATGAAGCCACAGGCCGGGCCAAACACTAATGTTGAAAATAAAATACCTGCAAGACAGTAAAAGAAAGAGAGAGAGCATAAATAGTCAGTTTGTTAAAATGGTAAAGTTTTTGTAATTACGTTTATTTTAGCTGAGCTTAGTTGTTCAGTCATCAGAATACTTCAACAATTTAAATCTAGTATAGTCAACATCATTACTATTGTTGTTTCTTTTATCTACAATTTTGGTTCATTTTTAAATGTTAATGTATAGCTCTTAAAATCTGTTTTTTATTTGCTGCTGTTTATTTATACCTGCTGTTGTTGTTTTGGGTGTTCTATCTATTTATTTTATTTATTTATTTTATTTTATTTATTTTATTTATTTTATTTATTTTTTATGAGTGTATATAATTATGTAGATATGTACATGCGTATGTGTGCGTGAGGATGTGTGTATACATTTGTGTGAATATCCATCTGCATGTATAACACAGTAGACTGTCTTTTTTATGTCACTAAATGAAATAATAACAATCCTAATTAAAAATTGAATTAAAATCTACCTACTGTCCATCAACCAGAAACTAAAAGAAAAAAGCTTAAGACTTAGAGTAAGTGTATTTCAGCTTGTAATTCAGCAGAGGGCAGCATTGTATCAAAACTGTAAAGTGGCTATTACAGAAGCCTGTTTTATTAACTATGTGGTAATATGGAGATTCCTACCACACTTCTGCTTGTTAAATCCACTGACCGAGAATGAGATGCATTCTATTCAAGTAAAGATTAAGTACTGAATTCATGCCAAGGGACTTTAAATTTAATCAGATGTCTCCCACTGGCAGATTTATTCACATCACTGTAATATGCTGCTCATAGGTTGCACAGAGTAATTGATCTAAGACTAGATTATCCCGCAGGATCATAAATAATCAAGCAGGAAATGGGTTCTTAGTGTGAGAGCGGTGGGAAGCCACTGATGCAGCAGCTCGGGTTGATTTTCTCTTGAAAGCAGCGCTGCCCTGCTTTGGCCCAGAGGGTGAGAGGTTTCCAGTAAGCAACAGCAGACTGTGCAGGGATATATGTGTGCAGGGATATATGTGTGTGCGTGTGTGTGTGTGTGTGTGTCACTAAAACTAAAGCCTGACTGCTAATAAAAGAGCCCAGAGCAGAAAGTGGCCGCTCCCCACTGAGAGAACGAGAGGGCCGGTCAATCACAGAGTCACCGTGATTCATGACCAGTGCCTTGAATAGCCACGTCCATGTTTCTTTTGACAGATGTGAGGTCTTAAAGAGAGCACAGACAGTCAAATAGGTATAATTAGTAACCCTAATTAGTACAGTTAGATTAATAAAGGTGGACTAGAGAGTTTTGTGACGATTTCACAACCACATTGTCCAGTTTTCAAGTTATTTTGTTTTTTCAATAAACCCATTAGCGGAGCCAATCCAAGCCAACCTCATCGACAAAACACCAAAGCTCCATATTGTGTAAATGTCATTATGGGCACAACCAGCTTCACTGTGACTCTGATAACGAGGGGAAACAGCTGACGACAACAGCAGCAACATGCATGATGACGGAGAATAACCGCTAAGCTTTGTTGTGGCGTGAGAAGCGACGGAGAGCTCATAATCCTAAAGCAACAGCTGCCTGACGCCCATCAGGACTGAAGGCCAGTAACATTCTTACTGCCATGAACTACTGGAGCTATAACCATAAAGTACAACTTGTATTACTGCAGGCCTATAGTTGAAACTACTGTATATACACTATTTAGATATTGGACTTTATTTACTCACATATCTGAAAGTGTGCTTAACTTTTGCACATCCCCTCCTCAATACTTCCAGTTCTTCCATTTTAAAAACATGTAACATGTAAATGTTGATCTTTGATATCATGTCGATTCATTTTTAAATGATGTTTATTGCTATGCACCAAAACACCGGTATATCTTTCTTGTATGTGCAAACCTGCTTGACAATAAAACTGTTTCTGATTCTTAAGTATCTCTATGCTGAAAGAAAATTGGACACAATTATGTAAAATTATAATATTTTGTTCGATATACATTTTTATAATATCCAAATAGTCCAAAAATAAATGGCTGGGAGGAATACAATTGTGATGCATTTTATTGTGATTGTGGACATACATCAGGAAGTGTTTTTGAGATTTCAAATGTACAAATTGTACGGGAGTATATTTTAATGTGATCATACAGTGCTAAGTTTCCCTCAATTTGTCTAAACCTGTAAAATGACAGAACATGTTAGCATTGCTCTGACTTCCAACATTGTGCTGTTGAAATAGAGGTTACTGCGTCGTAATTTGAGAAACAACAGCAACCACCGCAACAACGTTATGATGTATGCACACATTTCTAAATGCATTATTGTATTATAAATACAAATGTATCTGAGGTGGATTTTCAAAGGATTGGTTTCACTTTTGATTGCTCATTAGAGGCCGCATGTAAATCCCTTTGGATTTATTGACTTTCCAATGATTGCAGTTCTGCCTCAGTCTAGCCGAGGATGAGAGCTGTCCTCAGTAAAGCAACCGTGTAGCGGCACATATCAATGGCTTGATGCCTCGAGGGCATTAGGTACAGGGAAATAGTTTACAGCTGTGAAACCAGCCGTTCAGAGTGATCATCCTGAGAAAGCTTATATAAGCAGTGATGACACTATTTGTTACACTAAAAACACAGAAAGAAACACCTGCAAGGAGACTTTGCACTCCAAAACAATATAGACTACAGGGTGCATTTTTGGGAAAAAGTAAATATGATTGCGTTAAGTTCTTCATTCGTCTCGTCTAGTCAGTACAAGTTGTTGAAGGACTTTACTCCCCTGTGTTTCTAATTATCTTTTGAAAATCCCCCATCAGGTAAAGTATAGTTCTGTCACTAAAGTCTTTTTTTTTTTAAATGCTAATGTTATTTTGGAACCAAATTCTTAACTTGCGATTGTAAACAGGATGAACTAAATGCCACAGATGTTTTATGAACGTGTATATTTTTTTGTCCCGAACCATCTCAATATGAGCCAACCAAAATGTCTTGAAAAGGTTTTTTTGCATGAGGTTTAAAAGGGCAGAGAAGAGTGCAGGTTGACATGTGGGAATTATATCTGACACCCATCTCAAACACACACTGTGGGCTGTTTTAGCAGTACATGCTCTGCCCTGGAGATGCTGCGCACAATGAAACATTTCCAGAGGGATCCTTAATGGATTTTCAATGTTTCTATAAAAAATAAATAAACAGAAGGCTGCTTTTGTATCCTTCTTGACTATATTTTCTAACTGTTTTGTCTGAGAGCTGTGTCAATGAACACAGGCACAAAATAAAGATCAAGGTACAGTAATACGTTCCCGCTAGACAACAAACTAATGGGAGATTAGTTTAATTTGTATCAGAGACCCGGGCTCTCTGTGCCACAGCGTCACGTGAACCTAGATGAATGAAAGTAACTGTAAGAGAAAAGCACAATTCACAGGATCATTTATTAAAGTACCAACTCTCTGGGAAAAGCATCTAAGAGATGACTTAGATGTCCATGTAAAGCTCTGGCAGCTTGTCTGACCCAGCCATTTGGAAATGGCAGGTAGAGACACTTCACTTAAACTGAGAGCTTGTAAAGGATGTAACAGGATGAAAGGATGAAATTGTATGGCTAAGTGATTTTAATACTGTATATATTCTGCAACTTGGCCTAAACACGACATTTTGTTCCTAAAATAATAGTATTGCTATTGAGCTTGTCCTGAATATAATGCTTGCAATATGAAAAGTACAATTATACATTAATTACAGCCCAAACACACGTGTACAAACAAGAACAAGGAGTGATGTCAAGCCAAACGCTTTCTAGATGTCAGCCATGTTGGCGGTTAACTGGATGGTTAGTTAAGAAATTATGAGGAGTAAATAATGCCAGGGAGAAATTTGGTAACAAATGATGATCTCTAAAATGCATTATAAACATATAATGTGTTATAATCTGCTTACAGCACAGTATAATCATAGTAATATCCATAATGACTTTTAACAATAATCATGAGACATAAACAATTGTATATGGTCAAGTATCATCATACCTCATGAGTAGTGACACCCCAAATTATAAGTTAAGTTAAGCTAAGCTTTAAGTAAAGCATGTAAGTTTTTTGTTCTTGCATGAATTCAATTATGTTTTTAACTTTACTTAAAGCAAACAATGACCACTTAGAGTAACATCATCCCATTATAATGCATTATAACAGTGATTTTAATGCATTATAAAATGATAACAATGTATTCAACTATGGGATCTATAATACGCTATGATCCTTGCAAAAAAATATGTTGTTACTATATTAAACATCCCTATGGTTTTAAATGGTGAGTCAGTTTTGTGGTTTAAGTCCACTGTGACAGATCACATGATACCATGGACACACAAAAAATAGCAGAAACAGATGTGCATTACATATATTGCAATCCAACACAACAGTCCAGCAATCCTGCTCATTTTCATACATGTGGGAGCAGAAATATTGCAGACATCTTACAATGCAATCATATCCAACATAAACACAAACTACTGCCTCAAAAATATCACAGTTAATTCAAAACCTCTTGCACACAGTGCCAAAACCAATTTAATAAGGTTTCACCCACAGACAGACTGAGGGCATGAGTGCCCAAACACACCAAATTCCACACATTTTCACTAGAAATCAGAAAGGAGGTCTCCATAATGTATTCCTATAATTAAAATGTTACATTGTATTAGTTCATTTATTTGATCAGTTATATATATTGGTTATTTTACTTCCCAGCGTAATGCTAAATGCTGTAATACTGGTTTAACGTCTTCTTCTAGCGAGCTTAGTGCTATTTTGGTCAATTCTATATACTTCTATTCTAATTTTCCTAATTTTCCTCCTGTGGATCAATAAAGCTTACCCAATTTATTAGTTGATCTAAAAGTAGTTAGATGGGGATGTAATTTACTGAAGACTAAGTGTGTATTTAACACCAGGGATGAAACAAGTAACAAGCGGTATAAACAGATT